TTTTTATACATACATATATATAGAAAAAGTTTATCGTTTACTCAACATTCTATTAGCCATTCTGTGGAAATTTTACCGGTCTTGCTAGTGATTATAATTACTAACGATAAATTTTAATTTGAAAAGTTTCATTTGTCCTCAACAGATCATTAGGTCACAAAATAACTGCCTTTTTCTATCCCTCTCTGTCACACTCTCTTTTTGTCTCTCTGCATCCCTCTTTCTTTTACTATGTCCTTCTCTCTGTCTGTTTCCATCTCAGTATATGTGATACCAACTGTATTACACATCAGACATAGGTACAAGCATAATAATATATTATTTCATGTAGGATATACATAATCTTGATTTTTACATTCTAAATAATTTTTGAGTATTCATATGAAATGATACAAAATATTTTTTCTTGTAGACAAAATTAGTCTACAGGAAAAAAGTACTTGCTACCATTTTATAGCATCTTAAGCAAATTATCACTTGGGGAAATGTCAGAGAGGATCATGTTGGTTCCATTGAAGATGGTTTGAAAAAAAGATGAAATTTTTTGATTTGTACTTGTTATCTATACTTTTTCCTTTTATTGCAATGATTAAAAATAGAGAGATACAAACTACAAAATATAATGAAACAACATCTTACTAATTTTAGTCCTGTTTTGGGAAGAACTAAAATGGGAAATAAGAATAGAGTTTTCATTGATATGTCTAATTATTATAAAAAAATTGTACTGTTGCTAAATACTTATAATAAGTATCATCTTTTTACTTCAGAAAATATATATTTATCTTTTAATATATAAATTGAGTGCAATATGTTAAGTAAGTTTAGAAAGGTTCTTGTACATTGCAAATATGATTACCCATGTCCTGAAGGGACAATGTCCATTGAAGAAGACTTGAAGTTTAGTTTCTTTTTTATTTGCAGAAGCATTAAAAAATATGTGAAATTTTTGTCATTTAGTTTATTTGAAAAGCTTGCAAAAAAGTACCATAATCCTGTGTGTATAAGACACAAGTTTTTTTCCTCCAAAATCATATTAAAAAATCTGCTGTGTCTTATAATTTAGATTAGAACTCAATTTTATTTTTCCCAGAACTTTCTTCACATATGCCTATAATTTGTGCTTCTTACTCTATAACCCCCTATAACTTGAGTATCTCTTGGGCTTTATACAGGGTGAACATCATTGTAAAAAAAAACAAAAAAAAAACAATGTACTCAGGATGGACAAAATTGGGTCAAATTGGATTTATTTGTTTACCCGGAGAGATAATCTAATGCCATATTGCAATGAAGGGAAATAAATCTTTCATAATATTTCTCTTAGTCCTCTTACCAAACAAACAAATTAATATTTATTCAATTTTATTTTGATTTATTTTCTCAGTGTGTATTGGCATTTTAGTGGTAAATATAAATCCTAAGAGTATTTACCACATTTTCATAATGAATCACAAAAGTAAACAAAATGTCCAGTTTTTTTTGTTTTTTTTTTGCATTTTTTGTTTTTCTTTTTCACAAGTTATTTGCTCCAAAATCAGGTGTGTTTTATACATGAAAATAGCTTTTTTTTTTTAAATTTCTCTACATTTTTAACTGCATCATATACTCTCTAGTGATATATACATAAAAGATTACAGTAAATTTATTGAACAGTATCCATAAACTGTGAAAATATAAGATTAACAAGTTCGATTTTTAGCATGATTTAAATCTTTACTATCTTCAAAAAATTTTTCTATATTCATATTCTTTAAAATTATTTATTTGTAGCCATCTTTCTCTCTCTCTCTCTCTCTCTCATACACGCACATGCTGTAATGATGCTACAGTTTTGAAGATGTTATCATATTTGATGAATTTGTATTTAAATATGTAAATAGTAACAAAAGAGTGAACAAAAGAAGTCAAGTTAGGGAGTAGTAAATATTTTTGAAGCATCCTTTCCCATCCCTTTCTGTTGGTCTTGTCAATCATAAAAGAATATTAGCCTAACTTGGGGAGTTTGTGTCAAGGAGAAAATAATGGAGTTAATCAATTCCACAAGGAAGAAAACACACATGTGTCTAACAGCTGAATTATCTTTTTAATATTCAGTGGCACCCAACTAAGACAATTTCCATTGCCAACTACCAAATATTATTGTCTTCTTATCTGATGATTTTTGACTACAGCTGTACAGTTCTTCTTTCAATATATTTTATCTCATTTATTTTATGGCAACAGATTCATTTACAGAATTTATAACATGTAATACTTGCTTCAGTTTGTTATCTATTCATTTGAATGTTGCATTGTGGCAATGAGTATTAATAATGAAAATATCTGGAGATAAGTTTGCAGGTGTCACATATTATCAAGTAAAACAAATCTAATGTTTTAAACTCTCTCTGCTGGTAATCTTTACTTGGTAAATTTTGCAAGAAACAATTATAACTGTATAGAAGAAGTAAAAGTTATGATGTATAAGTTCCATTACAGAAGACCATATTGATAGGACTTATTTGCAAATATCCAGGAAAATAGAATTCCTGATTTGAAACTAATAGGAGGGGTGCTGAAAAGTTTTCAGCCTGACCAAGAAGGGATTAAAAAAATTTAGATCTTTGGTTATTTGGAAGTAGGTCAGGCCAAAAACAATTTTGCACCCACTTTACTTAAAAACCTCATTTTAGGAGCAATTTTCTTGTACAATTTTAAAACTCTAAAATACAATACTTACATATTGTACTTACATTTTATGATAAAATGCTAAACTATTTTATGTAAATATTTTAAACTACAAGTGGATTTTTAAAGATTAATTTCTTCTGAACTTTTTGTATATAATTGTTTTTATTAATAATAAACATTTTCAGTTTTGTGTTGTAATAGAATCATTTTGCTACAGCTAGTTCATTTTTAGGATTTATAATAAATTTGCAATTAATGTGATATGAATATATGATTAGAACAATTGGTTTGATCCAATATAATTCTTCTAAAATTTTTAAGACTAAGTTCATTTCCTTTACCAAAATATATAAAAAGCTGCAGCAGCAATGGGTAATAATGTACAAAATATTATTTTTTTTATCATTAAGCTACAAACTTACTGATATGTGTGTATCTAATTTGCAAAATAAAATTAAAAAAAGACAAAACATTATTCAAGCACAAGTTAGATTTAAACTTAGATCGTCTTGGAAGAGAATTAAAAGGGCTCAAAATACTTTTTCTTTTGAAGTTTAAGAAATAAACAACAAAAGTATTTTGATTTTAGATAAATATTTTTCCTTAACTATCAACAGTCATAATGAGCTGAACATACTTATTTTTAAGCATGTAACAAATTTATATTAGCTGTGTTTTCCTGAAAAACACTAAAGTGAGTTTTCATAAAAAATCTTGTTAGAAAGAAAGAAATGAACACTAAACTGTTATGTAATATCAGTCCTCCTATATGGCAGTAAATGCTGGACAATCTCTTCACAGATGAAGAAGAGACTTGAAGAAAGTTCTACAGAAGGATGCTGTGGATGAACAAAACATGAGCAACAATAAAGTTCAACAATGGAAACAAAAAGGACACTTATATTTAACATCAGGAAGATAAAATTGAAATTTCTAGAACACATAATGAGGAAAGTGCAGTTGGAAAATTTGATACTCACAGAATATACTGAAGACCCTCTTGGAAGAGGAAAACAACACATTTAGCAAACACAAGTAAATGGATAGCAGAGCAAGGTTTAGGAGAAATAACAAAAAAACAAAATTTATTAACAGCTACAAAGGACAGGAAATTGTGGAGAGCCATGATTGCCAACGTCCTAAAAGGACATTACACATAGTTTAAGATGAAGTTTCCATTTTTGCCACTGATATAGTTTAGCAAGATAGATATAAATTTGCATGTTATTAGAAATTTTTTTTTATTGTAGTAGAATATTTAAGACCACAAAACATTGACACTCACAAGAATTATTTTGTGAATAACTTTGTGAAAAAGAATAATAATGTAGAAAGAAAATATAAATGATTTTAAAGAAATTTTTTTTTTTGTATATTAGAGCAATGGTTTCCAAAATTTTCTTTTTCCTTGGACAGCATTTTTGCAATTAAAATTTGCTTGTGTCTCACCAAATTTTATATGATAAAAATTACATTTAAAAATAAAAAGAAAACAGTGTGGATTAAAGGTAGATAACTGCAGATTCAAAATAAGAACATTATCAGTATTAACTCTCTCCTCCAATTTGCAGAGCCTAGTTACTATATTCTTAATACATGATCGCCTAAGTGTGTATTACACATCGCACATAACTGCCTGACTCGATTGGCGGCTAAGCCTCATCATTTTAGAATTGAAATATCTTGATGTAACCATGTTCTATATTAACAGTTCCTCCTTTAGCACTTCTCGCTTGTAGAACTCTCTTCAAGCTTCTTGCTTTCCAGTCAACTTTAAATGCAATCGTTATCTTCTGTCCTCTCAATTCCTGTTCTTTTATCATTCTCTTTCCTTAATAATGTTTTCTTATATTCTTGTCTACTCAGTAAAACCCCATTGTGTCTTATTGGCTTTATTGCTTTCTTTGGTGTAAAATGATTAAAAAACAACTTTTAAATTTTTATTTAATCTCTAAAACCATGTAAAATGTATTAAATCTGATTGTATTAAAGTGTAAAAGCATTTTCATCACAGAGAACATTGAAATTTTTCATGTGTTTTTATGTACTTTTATATTTAGATTAGAATTTAATTTTCAATAGAAAATTCAGCTTATTTTGTAACAGCTTAATTTCCCCATAATATAAAATAATTAATAATTACTTAAATATTTTAACACTCAAACCAATTCATCATTGTGAAAATATATTAGTACAGTATTTTGTGAATAACTTTCCAAGTGAACTTAACTATTTTAGCTTGATTTCCTCTTCTGTATATTTATCTCTCCTAATAATTTTGAAATCTTTAGCTCTTTGAATGTTTTGAATTCTTATTTTATTCTCAGAAGAACCAAGCAATGAGTGTTGCATCAATATTCTACGTTTGTTACAGTCTGTAATCTCTGAGGCCAATATCACTGTTCTTCACCAATTAAAGGAATTGGTGAGTTTTTTTGCTTTTTTTTTTGTAGTCAGCTCATTCATGTAGATTGGAAACACCAAAATCAAGCAAACAAAAATTTAATATCTAGGAATTGTTTTAACAGAGGATGAAAAATACAACATTGAAATTCAAAGGCACTTTGAGATAGTTTTCAAAAGCTAAGCAGAGTATTAAGAAAGAAACAAGAAAATTTCATGAGAAAAGAGTACTGAACTGTTATGTAATATCAATCCTCTGATATGCTAGTGAAATGTGGTTCTCCAGAAGCATGCTGTGAGAATACCATGGACTAAACTTGAGCAATGATGAAGTTTTAGGGAAAATAGAAACAAAACGGGCATTTATATTTAGCATCAGAAAGAGACAGTTGAAACTTCTTGGGCATATAATGAAGAAAGAGAGTTTAGAAAATTTGACACTCAGAGGACGTATTGAAGGCAAGAGAGACAGAGGGAAGCAGTTATTAACCTAACCTAACCTAATGAGTTTGTGTAAATGGTTGGCAGAAGAACAATTAGGAGAGGTAGCCAAAAGACACACCTTACTAAGAATGGGCAATGAACATGGCACATAGAAGAAATGAAATCAATAATATCCATGTCATGTAATTATTAAATATGACAATGGATTAAGAATTTTTCTGTGAAATGTAGGCATTGACATTTTTCGTTATAAAAAAGCGAAAATAATTTAATAAAAGCAAAATTTCATCTGACTGGACACTATCTTTAATTGTTGCAATAGAAGATTGAGAAAATTTTCAAAGCAAAAATGTTATTCGATTAGAATTAGAATTGTACAAGTAAATGCATATTTTAGGGTGTCAAAAGATGCCAAGGGAGGCAATCCGTAAACTTAAAAGCAGAATTATCTCCCCTATTTTTTTTAAATGTTAGCCAAGAAGGTAATTCCATTTTTTGTGTGTGTGTCACCTCTCCCCAGGATGAGATCGATCATGGGTTTCCACAACTTTCTGTCCTTTTTAGCTCTTAGTAAGATTTGTCTTGCTCTCCTTTCTAAGTATTATTTTGCCAACCAAATTAAAAATTAACAAGATAGGGAGATTATTTGTTGCTTTCCCTCTTGCCTTCAACATATCCTGTAAGTGTCAAATTCTTCAAGTCCTCGTTCTTCATTATGTGCCCTAGAAATTTCAACTGCCTCTTCCTGATACTAAGTGAAGTGTTCTTTCTACCATTTTCCTTAAAACTTTATTGTTATTCACATGTTCAATCCATGTTATTCACAGCATCTTTCTGTTGAACCACATCTCTGTGAAGAGATTGTCCAGCATTCACTGCTATGTAGGAAGACCAATATTACATGACAGTTCAATACTCTTTTCTTTGTAATTAAATTTTTCTGTTTCTTAATACTTTGTTTAGCTTTTGGAAGGCATTTTTGCTATTCCAATGCACATTCAGATTTCGATGTTACATTTTCTGTCCTCTGTTAAAACACTGGCTAGATGTTTAAATTTTTGTTTGCTTGAATTTGGTGTCTCCATTTTGTTGATTACATGTTGGGCTGTTTCTCACTCTTTTTTCCTACAATTGATGTTTAATCCTTTCTTCTCCTCCTCCTCTCTACTATAGTTTTCTTTCTGTATCTGCTATCAAAACTGTAATTCCATTACAGAAAAATAATTTGTAAAAGTTCATATCATTAATGTACACTGAGAATGAATATCATCAGATATTTTATCCAATCACTATTTAGATTCAAATATACACCAAACAGACTTTATTATTCCATTGTTGATGATCTAATTAATGCAAAAGATCATTTTATTTACTGAGGAATTTATTTTTAACTTTCAATATCCTTAGAAGCTATCAATCCTGTCCTTTAGTTTTATATTGTAATTTGTAGTCAAAACAAGTCCATTGATGCCATTTAATATCAATAAGCTGCCAACATCAAGTAAAACAAGTACATTAAATTCTATATATCTTCTGATTTCTATAAGTAGTTATAATTTTGAAAGTATCCATTTTTAAGTGATATTAAAAAGTACAAAAAAATTATGTTTAAAAATCTTAACGAGAGTTTAAATTTGATCAACAAATACCTCTGGTGGAAATTTTTCATATTTTAGGTCTAATAGTTTGCTTGTGAGAAGAAAAAAAGTAATTTTTTGAAAAAAAAAAAAAAAATTATTTGATTATTATAGTGAGCACGATTGAACTTGAAATATATAAAACTAAAAGCTTTCCAAAAAACATTAAAAAATATCTAGAGTTAATTTGCATATGTGGATTAACTGTAGATATTTTTTAATAATGTTAATCTTCATCTTAACTAATATATAACATTTGCTATTACTGTTTGAATTTCTGGGATGAGAAATTATCATGAGGGCAATAGTCTGCATGTAAATAACATTTGTTATATTTTTACTTCATTTTAATGTTATAAAAAGTGAAAATTTTTCCTTTCTATTTTTAAAAAGAAGAGTTGAGATTGCATTTAATTCATGCTTAAAAATATATTTTCCATTACACATTTATTTTTACTTATCACTTGTATATTTTTTATGTCTCTCTTTAGCCCATACTATAAATTGTGTCTAATCTTTTACAGCTACCTGACAAAGATCTACATTTTCTTACCACCAGCAGAAACAAAGACATCCGAGATTTGGCTTCAGAGCTTTGTATTGACCTTAACTATTGATTCTTTATCATGCATATCAATATTGAACAATTTCTGCTTCTATTTTAAAATGGATCTATAAAAGAAGCAGAAAATAGTTTTAATTTAATATTTCTGTTTTTGCAGTTTGTAGCATTGCCTCCATTCTTTGGAGTCATCTTTAATGTCTTCTAGTTTCTATAATAAAGTATCTTTTTATATTTGCCTTTAAGAAGTCTTTTTCCTTTATCAATGCTTTTCAAGTTTATTTAAATTTAAATTAAGAAAAACATAAAACATTGTACTAATTTGAACTGATATACGAGAAAGCATTCTCATGACCTATCAATACTGAAATCTTCTATTGAATAAGTGCTAATATGTCTTGTAGTAATTTTAACATTGATACTCTCTCTCTCTCTTCAGATTATTAATTTTTTACCATCAGACTGACGTTCAAAGGGACTGATTTTTAATTATACAAACTCGATCTATGTCAATATGTAGAAATTAATAAAACTGAAAGAAATATTGTATGTAGAAATTTATACCTTTGAGTATCACAAATTTATAAGTATATCAATTTATTTGCAGTGGAAGGTATTTGTTTAAAGCTTGTACTCTTTCAAATAGGCTTAAACTATCATCATGCAAACTTTTCTTTTATTCTGAGTTTTTAAGCTGTCAACAGCTCCACAAGCAAGCAGTGTGCAATTTTAAAAAAAATGGATAAATAGCTGTAAATTTTGAGAGATTTCAATATTATCATGCTACAAGAAAAAATTAACAGAATAACATGTTCATCAAAAATAGTTCTTAGCATTAAAACCAGTATTTATTCAAAATACTGTTAAAAAATGCTGAGTCCCCACAGGTAGCTGTATATATTTTTCAAATAGATATGAAATTCAATAGAATTCCAGATTTTTTATCAATAAAAGTGATATTTCATCTTATTTTTGTTGTTTTTAAATTATAAAGCAAGAAAAATAATATAAAGGACAAGTGAAAATCAATAATCATTTACAATGCTTCATCTAAGACATTTGTAGACTTTTACATCTAATCTCCAGCACTTTATAACTTAAAAATCTGATTCCAAAATTTTTTTTACATCCATGATATAAAATATAAATTCAAGATATTAGCAAGACTAAAAACCTGGGAGAACTTTAGAACAAAATTTTTTGTTGAATCAGCGCCATTCAACAGTATAGATCAATAACTTTTAAACAAATAATTGGCAAAATAATAAGACAAAAATCATTATTCCAAATAAGTCTTTTTTCACGGGTTATTTATATACATACATATATATGTGTGTGTGTGTGTTAGGTAATTGACTAACAAGTGAGAAAAAAATTGTATAACATGTTTCATCTACTAGTAGGACTTTGTCTGATGAAGTCCTAGAGGATGAAATGCTTTTCATACAATTTTTTCACTTTGTGATCCAGTTGCTTAACCTTGTTCTGAGATTTTATATATATATATATATATATATAGGAGATTTGGCTGGAAAGTTCATAAGTTGACAAAGTTATAACTAAGTAGACACACCAATTGGTTGACTGAAAGACATGCAAGTGTACCAGAATACAACAGTTGGTCCACCAACTGTTGTATTCTATTAGACTTGCATGTCGTTCAGTCTACCAACTGATGTGTCTACATACATTTATATCTTGGTCAGCCTATGAAACTTTTCAGGCAACCCTTGTATGTCTATATATGATGGTTTTAGTATGGAAACTAGATACAAATAGTAGCAAACATCTCAAATTTTCATACAGACAACAGGCCAATGTAGCAGGTTACAACAACAAAGTTCTGTAAAAATCATTGTCAAAATATTTCTAGTTTAATATACTCATATTTTGGTCTTATTTTCTTTTTTCAATTCTTTATTTAAAGACAAACCATTGTCTTTTGCTGTCATGGGACACAGCACTTGTCAACATTATGATAGAACACTGAAATAATTTAGTTAATGTTTTATTTTCATCTTTTTGTTATATATCTTCTGTTTATGAAAATCTCTTTGTGAGTTGAGTGCTTGCTTAGGCTTGATAATATAGAATTGCTTCCATAAAGATTTAACCTTTCCAAAGGGGTTTTTCATTTATTGGTTTTATTCTCACTCAAGAGTACCAAGAATGAAATCAGTGTTAATTCCTTGAGTAGATTATTGTTCTGTGATATTTTTCTTTTGTACTACTTGAAAAGTCATTTAAATTTGTAAATAGATCAGTAAACAATACAGTTTTAAAGTGTGATATTCTTTTATTTTCAATTTCTCTTTGAAAAAAAGAAAGACATCTTGGAAACAAAATACTCCATTAATATATAAAGCATCTAACTCTGAACTACTCTCAATGCAGTTTTAAAGATGGAATTAAGAAACAATGTAATTTTATATCTCTAAACAAAGCTTGACAACGTAATTAGTTATTTCCCTACAAGGAAACATTCTGCATTCATTGACCAAGCAGCCAGTACTGCTTTCAGTTGAAAATTTATAAAATCTTTCTCTTAAACAATTTTTCAGGGAAATAGGTTTCTCAAGCCTGGTAGCTGTTATTGCTCTTTCCATTATTGATGGGAGTTTACTTTGTAATCTTTTATTTGAAGTAGTGTGGAACATCAATATCTTGATCATGTCATTTTCTTTTTGAATTGCATATGCTATTTTAATTGTTAGTAATCCTCAAATGATGTGGTTTCTGTTATTTGGTACAGCTCTTTGTGATTCTGTCGTGCTAATCTACAATGTTCAAAGAAGTATGGTCTTTGCCAAAAACCTCAGTAAAAGCATTTAAAAGAAAATCACAATCAGGAGTGAAGTTAAAAATGAAAAATGCAAACATACAACCTTTTTGCCAGATAGAACAAACTGTGTTGGAAGACAAGATATAAACATCTTGTAATTAATAAAGATTTAAGACAGTTTGGTGGCTAGGTATGCATAGAATAGGGTAATTATATAGGTTACAAATAAGATATGTAAACATCACCCAATTAGAGTTTTTTTTTCCTCTGTAATTTGTGAGATGGAATATCCATCTCACAACCAAAAAGAAAGAATTAACAAAAACATTGAAAGAGAGTACAAACTTTATTTCATAAAATAGTCTACCAATACTTACTAAACACAACAATTGCATATGAAAAATGATTTAACATAGCAGCTTTTTTGTTCATCAGTTATGTTTCTATTTCAGCATTGATAGGTGAAAGACTTGTCCAAGAGTGACAAAATCCCTTCTGCATTGAACAGAGAAAAATATATTTTCATTATATAATTAGCAATGAAATATTTGAAGGACAAAAAAAAAAAAAAGTAAAACTCTTAACCACTTCATGTATTTACCATTTTAATGTTAAGAGTTCCCAAGAAACAGCTTAAAATTATTTTCTCCTTTAAATGGATATAAGTATTTAAACTGATTTATAATATAATTCATATAATTACCTACTTATATATTTTGTACCAGAAATGAAACACTAATGATTTTTAATTAATACTTGAATTGAATTAGTAAGAGTTTCATTAGATTAAATATCTGGTATTATAAAATAATCATTAATTAATTAATAATTATTAGATTAAGGGATTGAGCACTCATGTTCCTTGTTCTATAAAAACAGAAATTAAATAACAAATTATGTAATACTCCCTTTTTTTTTATTTAGTGGAATACCAATGGATGGAAAATGTTTTTAGATAATTGCAAATACAAAATATTCATGTAACATTGTCCAAAAGATTACTGTAGAAAAAAAAATGTGTATATCCCTCTGCTATATATAACATATATGCAAATCAGGATTGGATATGTACAAAAGTGTTCCCTCGTTTTCTTGTAAACAGCCTTTTCAGTGAGGACTGAGCTTATAGCAATCAAAGGTAAAATGCTTTTCTTTCTTGATACATTGTTGGATGATTGTCTATTTTATATATAATTTTGGAGATACTTCTTTGTAGAATGTTCCATTAAAACCATTTTCCCCATTCAAAGCAGATATTTGATATGTTAAAAGTTTCTGAATTTCCCATCTTAAAAATTAAATTTTTTATTACAGTATTTAACTTCTCTATATCTTTAAATATTATCAATTTGCTGCAATGAGAGAAACCGATAGGAAAATTCACAACCTAATTTTCATGAAGTCTCATAAAAATAATGGCCAGTTTAAGAAAAACTTCATAAGAAAAAAAAAAAAGATTGATATTTTTGTTCCACAAATACTGTCACTTGTTTTTGTTTATATTTGAAATAGAAATTTGTATGATTTCCTTTTAAACATTAAAAAGAAATATTGTTGTTATGAATGCTTTAAGCAAGTAATTTATGAAGTACTGAAAAAAAATTGTTTCATTGAAGTACAACTGTAGAAGCATAAATTAGATAAACACAGCATTGGGATAGATGAATGTGAGATAGCAAATCACAAATTTACCAATTAATCCAAACACCTTTTTATAAGAGGTATTATCTTGTTCAATTATACCGGACTTTTTTTTTCTTTTTTCTGTTCTTTAGTTGGTTAAGATACCAGTTTTTGTTTTGTTTTTTATCCCCCAACCTTTTGCTGATTTTAGCCTTTCATCAGATTTTGTATTGGAATGTCTGAATAATTATTGATTCTTTGAGCAAGTGGAAAAATGAACAATGAATTATTGTTTCACTAATGTACAATTTGGACAGGAATATATAAAAAAAAATAACTTCAAAGCAAAGTACCTTTTCATTAGAGTGTGTATGTATGTATGTAAGATAAAAAAGAAAAATCAACAATATTATTATTGTTTGATATATGAGGAAACATTTCCTGCATGCAGCATATATTGAATCTTCTCTCCTACATCCAGAATCCATTCTTGAAAAGGAAAATATTTTATATGATAATTTAATCTGCAAATGATTTGGCACAATTCATTTTTAATTCCTTTTGAAATTCCATAACATCTGTAGCAATTAAGTACTACTTTTGAGAAAGTGCACAGAGAATTTAACAGATTTCATATTATTTATAAATTA